TAATAATAATAATAATAATAATAATAATAATAATAATAATAATAATAATAATAATAATAATACCCTAATTGATATTTAAGGCTAACATCTTGCCTTAACATAGGAATGCAGTCAAAAAGGCTGATCCCCATACTTGCACCCGTGGATCTCTCCTGGGGAGAGTGATGAGTTCCGGCGCCAACATACACGTTGGAGTACGGAGTGCGTTCCTCATTCAGGGCCCGTCCCAGCCGGGAGATAATATAGAAGGTTCGTGTGTAAAGGAAGAGAGCTGCTATTTCATGGAAGGTCGCACATGGTTTGCGACTCGTTTCATAAGGTACCGCTCCCGCATTTGACTAGTCTTAATGGGAAGAAAAATGGGAAGCTCTTGAAATCTGCCCCATGAAATTAACTACTGTAATATATACAGGAATATTTTGCTTGATTAGCAGTGTAATTCCTACTGTAGTGGTGAGAGACTGATGTGTTTAGTGGAACTCCATGGCAACAAGATATTTTTCGTCCCAGATTTTATTTTTGGTATTGTTAAGTTTTCTTTATTAACCTTTTAATTAAAACGAAATAAATGATCCGAAGCAGTATTGTAATTTACGCTTATTTTAAATTCAAAACAAATCAAGCAGTGTTTTCATGTGAAATACATGATCACAAGCTATACAATCGTTAAAATCAAACGAAAATCGCAAAACTATCGCTTAATAATGCATAGTAAATATGTTTTCATTCATTATTATTAATTAAATGTGAGAGGTAAATAATCTATTCATTTGCTCTCTTTGCATTGACCATACAAATCACGAATAGTATCTCCAATGCGTAGTGAGACCGATTTTGTTATTTTGTTTCTGACAAACTTGACAAACAAACTTGACAAACTGCCTGTTCCTATGAGTTAAAATAATTTTCATCTAGTTACTCTGGTACTTTTCGTAAAGATATGAGTAACTATAACACAAAATACAAACCTTTTGATAATTTTATTCAATTGTATAATATAAATATTCCCAGCTTTTAAAAGCAAGACTTTCATTTTGGTAATATTCTCTATTAATTAACTCTTCTTTTACGCATTATACCTCTTAAGAAACACAATGTTACAGTTCCTGGTTCACTTGTTTTATATTGTCATTTTAACAATGGATAAACTACCATAGTTATCTGCGTGTATTCTAAACCAATTTTGTATTTCGTTTTTGTAAAATACACATGTTTTGGATCGCAACAATGCTATGTTTGATTCTTGGTTGCTCAAGAGTATTTTATGCCGAATTTGAAAGCTCTTGGTTCTATTTTTTCGCCACACATACGAGTGTACTTTTATATAAGAATATTTCGCAATGAACAATTGTACTTGATTACATGATTTTTCTCTTGTGGATTTTAATTGCACGTCAGTCGTATTGAATATATGATAAATAATTAAATCATTCTGAGTGACATTTTGGTCACTAAAATAAATTAAAAATACAAATTTTTGGTAATTAAAATAGATTAATATATTGTTATTGATTGGCACAATATGCAGAAATCTATAGTACTTTCATGTTCTTTATTTTATGATTTCCATGTTTATTGCTTCCTTTAACCTCCCTCTCTCCTCATTCACCATTAACGCCAACCCTCTATTTGATCTCTCTTCAGGGCTTCGAGTGAGGATGTGTTTCAATGCGCGCGTAATTTCAGACTCCTCGAACACGCTGATGTGTTTCGAAGCGACTGTAAATTAATATAAACACTTCCCCGTATCATAATAAAAACGGCTTTAACACGTAATGAAAGAATAACAGACGCGTGTTTTCCTAAACGCGATTAACATATTCTTAGCGCCGACGTGAACGACGCGCGTGCCGATGTAGGGAGAGCAAACGCAGCAACAACAACAGAAAAAAAGGAGAGCATCCAATGAGACGAAAGTTACTCGGCCCCGTTCACATGAAAACCGCCACACGGAGTGCGTTAAGCCGGAGGAAATACGGACATGGAATTTCGCCGGTGCGGACGAGGCCCGGGGGTGGGGGTGGGGGTG